TCTGTCTGCTCCCCGACCTTAACCCCACACACACACACACACACACACACACACACACACACACACACACACACACACACACACACAGGTGAACTCACTGGTGCCAGGTACAAGCGTCTACAGCCTCAGCTCCGGTCTTCAGGAATCTGCAGCAGGAAAATAAAACAGCTGAGTGAGAGAGGACTCTACTGTCTCTATCCGTCTCTACTCTGTCTCTACTGTGTCTCTACTCTGTCTCTACTCTGTATCTATCTGTCTCTACTGTCTCTATCTGTCTCTACTGTCTCTACTCTGTCTCTACTGTGTCTCTACTGTGTCTCTACTCTGTCTCTATCTGTCTCTACTCCGTCTCTACTCTGTCTCTATCTGTCTCTACTGTCTCTACTGTCTCTACTGTCTCTACTCTCTCTACTGTCTCTACTGTCTGTGACTGTGATTCTCAGCTTCATTATGTTTCATTATGTTTTAATATCTCGGTCAATAACCACAGACTGTTTCACACTGAGTGAGTTTGTGTTTTAAGTCTACTCTGTAAAAGTTAGACGAGGTTCTAATCCTCCAGGTTCAAAGACGAGATGTTGTTATTACTAATGATAATAACAATAATAATAAACTTTATTTGTATGGCACCTTTCAAACAGGAAGTGTGGCTCAGATAACCGACATGTCTCCAGAGACCTGGAGGTTTTATATGATGATGTGTTTTAATGCTTCACTGCACAGGTGTTCCTAATAAAGTGCTCAGTATCAGTGTGACCTCTCACCCCTCCAGGATGTCTACCCGGTGCTCTCTGGGCTGGCCCACGTCCGGCCCGTACAGCCCGGCGTCGTGGTACAGTTTGGACTCTGACATCATCTCTCTGAGACGAGTGAAATCCAGTCCGAGCTGAACCCCGTCCACCCGGACCCCCGCCTTCTTCTCATAGCTGTTCGGTTCTGAACAAAACAGACGGGACAGACGTCACACACACACACACCCACACACACACACACCCACACACACACACACCCACACACACACACACCCACACACACACACACTGATTTTACAGCTGATACGGAAGAAGAAGAATCATATTACTTGTATATGAATGAGGTGTTTACATCTTCAGCAGGAACCAATGAGCTGAGAGCTGAGAGCCACAGAGGGAGGGAGGTTAGGAAGTGTTTACAGGGTCATTAGACGTCTCCATACCAACACGTCATGTAAATGAGAAACCTCCTCTCTGTGATGGAGGCGGAGCTTCAGAAAAACCTTCTGCTCTGTTTTTATATGACTTATTTATCAGGACTGTAACGTGTCTGTCTGGAACCTGTTCACTGTACGTGTGACGGAGATCTCATTACACACTGTGACAGGAAGAGGCATCGAACTGAACTGAAGGATCAACTCTTTACATGTGAGAACGCAGACTTCAGACAGACGCCACCGTGTCTGCAGCGGGACGACACTGCCTCACATTTAGAGGGAAAGTTCAACGTTTTGATTAATACACTTATTTATAGAAATGAAGAAAGATTCCAGCACCTGGCCGACAGGTAAACACTGTTTGTAGCTTTTAGATTTGACTTTTTGTGCAGATTAGGCTAACTGTCTTTATGCTAAGCTAAGCTAAGCAGCTGCTGGTTCTGACTCAAACAGAAGGACAAGAGTCGCTCTGTAGAGACCGACTGACCGCCACACTGACCCAGTTTGGGTCTTTTCATGTGATTTATTGTGGAGCTGAAATCATGAATCAATTAGTCAGCTGACAGAAGAATTACTGTTTTGATAACTGATCAGGAGCTTCTTCATGTTCTGTGGTTTCATCGTCTCCGTTCTCACAATCTGCAGCTGATCTTTGTCATATTTCATAATTAAATGAATATTTTTGGCTTTTTGACCAAACACATAAACTGAACACGTCTCAGTGGATCCAGACAAACTGTAATTGACCTTTTCTTTCTGTTTTTAACATTTTACAGACGAAACAATGAGAAATCATCAGCAGATGAATCAATAATGATAAAAATCATTAGCTGCAGCCCTAATTAACTGACCAGAGCTGCAGGTAATGACTATTTAAATGTGCTTATTAAGTTTTCCAATTAACTTGGTTGAAAAAAATATGAGGAAATTATACAAACTGTCCAAGGCCACGTCTGAATATTGATTATTTCACATATTCAACTTCCTGAATTCATGAATTTCCCCTAGGGGATAAATAAAGTATCTATCTATCTATCTATCTATCTATCTATCTATCTATCTATCTATCTATCTATCATCTATCCATCCATCCTGTCACATGAGACGGAATAAACAGGAAACACTCACATTGAAGGTTGAAGCAGAATCTTTGATGAAAAATGTCTGAATCAATAAATTGATAATCAAATGATTCGCACATTGATCTTCAGTCAGTCTGACCGCTTCAGATAATTACAGAATATTTTTGGCGCCCTCGGGCCACCGTACCGTTTCCCAGCTCCCAGTTCATCCTGTACCGCCTGGACTCGCAGTACTGCAGCAGCGAGCGGGCGTTGCTGCTGTTCCAGCTGTTGTCAGCTGTTCGCAGCAGAGCGTTCAGGCCGAAGATCAGGTCCAGGCCGGAGCAGTTGGCGAAGGCGTGCAGCAGGTCCACAGTGAACTCTGAGACAGGAAGAACATCACAGTCAGCAGAGGAGCAGCTGTGTTTCCATGACGACAGCCGGTGAGGACAGGGCGTCAGCTCCTACCTGTGAACTTGACTCTCCTGTACTTCCTCTGCAGGTCCTCCTTCAGCAGGATCAGCTGGTGTCGAGTCCACTCCTCCGTCAGACGCTCCTCCAGCCAGGAGGGAAGCCTCAGGTCGTCACATGACGGAGCTGAGGGGGAGGGAACTTCATTCACACCTGAGCTTAGTGACGTCACAGCTTTAATAAACTTCTATTTGAAGTCAGTGATTTCTCTGTTAAAGGCTGTTTCAGCGCTTCAAACCGGAACACGTCATGTTCAGTATGGAAGATCATTTATGACGCTCATGATGATTGCTTATATGATTTTCTTTTCCTTTAAGAAAATGGGCGTCAATGGAAGGCAAGAGGTTTTTCTGTTTCACTGGAGAGGCAAGAAAAAAAACCGACTGAAAAATCATCCTGGAAAAATAAATTAATAAATAAATCAATAAAAAAAACTGCAGATGAAAAAAAACTAAAATTTTGAAAAATGATCCTGAGAAAAAATAAAATCAACTTGCCTTTCAGGGCTTCCATACAATCCATTTGTGTTCAAGGAAAAGAAAGTTATATCATCATCAGCACTTGGTTTCCAGGTCTGACGTCACTGACTGACAAGTATCAACACGTTGAACACGAGGAGAAGATTCTCAACAACACACACATTTAAAAACATGATCTCCCTGACAGACTGTTGTTGCCCTTACCTGCAGTGAAGCGTGAGTCTGGCTGGTGAGACCTCTGCGGGGTGAAGACCATGAAGTCCTGTCTGGTCCCCCCAAACCTCAGAAACGCTGGAGTCAGAGCTTTGGCCAACGTCCTGATCTTTGGAGATCTGGAGACACAACAATGATTCTCTTAATATCCTAAAGAACAAAGTTTATGAGTGGGATTTATTATTACTATGATTATTATTATTGCTAAGAAATGACATTTCCATTACATGATGTGATGAAGTTACTTTCTGTTTCTCTAACAAACTGAACTTTCAGTTTCAGGAGCTTTAAGGAGGAAAACACTTGACCTCAGTTTGTCGACAAAACATTTTCCTGACTCGACTGAACACGTGATTTTAAATGTGACCTCGTTTTCTCTTTGTTAGAATTAAAATCACTTAGATTTAAATTTTTAAAACAAGAAAAATCTAATAAATCAAACACAAACATGTTACAGGCTCTTAGATATAAAGAAAGTTACATGTGGTTTAACCTTTGTGCTCAAACTGTAACGTCCCTGTGTTTGACTGTTTATTTCAAAAAGATTAAACTTGCTCAGTGTGAAACGACCTGATGATGAACCACTCCACTTATTTCTGACAGCAAAAACGACAAAGGGGAGAGATAACAGGACACTGTGTCCTCCGGTGTTTTCATTGTTAACGGTTCGTTTCAGAGGCAGGTCTCCGGGGCAGCGGAGGGCCGGACCTGTCGAGGCTGCGACGCCGCACAATGAGCGACGAGCTGCGGACACTGTCGCTCAGGTGTCGGTGGATTTAGCGCGTTAAAAGAACCTCAGTAACACACACACACACACACACACACAGACACACACACACACACACACACATGCACGCACACACACACACACGCACACCGACCCCAGAAGGTACATGAACTTCTCCTCTGACGCCAGACTCGCATCGATGGTGACGGACAGAAAGCGCGGGTCCACCCGGCGGATCACCGCGGATAGATCCACATCCGCGACCACGTCCAGAGCCCCGGACAGGGTCCCGTTGAAGTCCCGGTCTCCTCTGATGTGTAGCCCGTCGTTCCGGTCACACAGGACCCAGAGAAGCAGCAGCACGACCCGCGTCATGTCTGCTCTCTGTCCCGCACGTGAGCACTTCCTGAACGTCCTGTTTACAGTCGGGCACGCGCCTTTCCTCCGGGATCACACCGTCCACACCGGAGCAGGATCATCCGGTCTAATGCACACCGACATCGACCGACATCTAGTCCAGTCTGAATATAAGGAGAACAGGGGCGGCCCCCCCCCCCCCTTTTTTTCTTCTTTTGTGACACTTTTCCGTTTTACTTCATGATTCACCGTCCGTCCAAAATAAACATGACACTACCAGCTGATGCATCTGACGTCAGTCTAACAGCTAAAATTACAAAAACCTTTTTTTAAACAAAAAAGACAAAAATTTACTGATTCCAGTTTGTGAGTTTAAATATTGTTTAATCTTTATTATTATTGTTCTTATTATTTGATTAGTTAGTAACAGAAAATCAATCATCTGTTTTGATAACTTGATAACTTTGATAACAGCTTCTCATTATAAACTGAAGTTTGGGTTCAGACATGTGACGTCACCTCTGACTCAAACAACTGATCGATTAATCATGAAAACAGTCCACTGATCGATCGATAATGACATCAGAGCTTCACAGGTGATTCCTCCAGTCAGTAAAAAGAACATGTGGCTCTTTGTGCAGTTGATGGAGCTGAAGCCGCATGACAACCAGAACAACGGAGACCACCAGAGAAATCCGCCGCTGAAAATAGTCCCCAACAGATGCATCATTTCCTCCAGGTTGTTTGATAAAAACTACAGTGATCAGCTGTTTGAGGGAATTAAAAATAAAACTTTGTACCTGTGATGTTTTCACAGATTCACGTCGTCAGTAGGAACCAATGAGCCGAGACACAGAGAGAGGAGGGAGGAGTTGAGAGACGGACCGACACTCTGCTGGTTTGGGTCTGACTATGAAAGGACTGAATAACATCAGACTGATCTGATTGTTCATTTGTTCGCGTTAAAGAGTTTTCATAGAGAGCAGCTTTAGAATCAATTAGAGACTGGCTCGTTAGCGAATGTGTTCTTCTGTTCTTCATGATAATCAGGAGTTTTTAAACACAGTGAGTCTACATTATTTTAATGAAGATATATTTCACACTGATGAAACAATAAAAACAGAAGCAGTCGACAGAGACAGGAACATCTGAGGAGTCACAGCTGAGGAAGGTCCAACGGCGTCATCAGCAGCTCGTCCACTTCCTCCTGAAGAGCCGCCGCCTTCTCATTCACCAGCATCTGCAGCACAGAGACACGTCATCTGTTCACGTGTTAATCATGACATCACGACCTTCACCGTCAGGAGCCGTGATGATGATGATGATGATGATGATGAAGCTCTGAGGACCAACGTGACACTCACTTTAGCCGAGGCCACGATCTGGTCGGCCTGTTTCCTGTACAGGTTTTCCACGGTCCTGGACAGGAGTGCGGGGTCGGCGTTGGCCAGGTGAGTCAGCGTCTTGTAGCCGGCGGTGTAGAGCTGCTTGGCTCGGGACTGGAGGAAACACAGACAGATGATCATCACTGGATCAGTGTGACCCTGAAGGAAACCTGACAACAGGAAGTTCTGCAGGAGCCTCCGTTTCTCTGGAGCTTTATTCTGGAGGGACATCGGAGATAATGACATCATCAGGAAGTGAAGTCACACTGAAGCACACGAACATGCGTTTCATAATCGAGATGTCACAAGTTGACACGATTATCTTTTAGATTAATACTGATTTAATTACAGTGTCCTATCTGAATTATATATTATATATTATACTAATTATAGTATGGAGCAGATAGGAACTGGGCCCCTCCACCTCAGCTCTGTGGCGCCCCCCTGTGGAGGCTTTAGTCCACCACAGATCAGATGGTCCAGAAGCAGGAGAAGAAGATTTCATCCACCTGGATGAGGATTATTCCAGTTACTACTTCATTTTCAGGACAAACCTGATCAGACAGGAAACAGTGAACCAGACTGTTTCAGGCTCAAGAATCTCAAATGAAACTACAATGAAAAAACGTTTGAAAACTAAAATGAAAGTGAAATAAAACATAAAACAAACGAGGATCAATAAAGTGATAAATGTTTAACTTCAGGTTAAAGCGTGTCCTCCACACCTGACAAATATCTGCTCTTCAAATCTGAGTTTAACAAACCATCATTTAATGGATTAATCTGCGGAGCGTCTTCTGGATTATAACACGTCAGGAAACGGTTCCTCACGTGTTCCCAGAGTCCAGGACGACGGCACACGTCCTGTTTATTCACAGCACCGAGACTTTACATTCACAAACATAAAACACAGGGAACATGTGAAAAGAAAATGTTTGGCTTTTGTGATTAGAAAATTAATGAAATGATCAAATTGCTTGGTGATTGATTTCTTCAGTTCATCATGATGCAACAGAGAAAATAAAACTGATGAGCAGAACACTTACTAATTAATAACTTTCAGATCTCAATCAGGTGAATTGATAAGGAGATTTTTCTGTTCGAATGTTAATAGTTTGAGGTTTTGGGGAGAAAGTTTCATGTTCAGATTGATCCTCTCTGCCGTCTGAACGATCGACATCAAACCAGATGAAACTAATAATTATTGATTAATCTGACAAAGAGTCAGAAAAAAGAGAAAAATGTCAAACACTAAAATAATCAAATTGACTGTGATGTGAATGAGACAATGATCATGTGAAACATCAGGACAGTCGGGACTGATTTCCCGCTCTTATCTGATTCACACTGACCTCCATGACTCCGGCCACCTCCATCAGAGGGATGAGCTCCGCCTTCACACAGTAGCTCAGCCTCCGCGTCAGCTCCGTCAGCAGAGCCTTAAAGGGCCAGAGCTCCTCCAGCTCCTGATCACACACACAACACAGCGAGCAGAGGTCAGCAGGTCTGAGGTCAGCTCAGTGATCCTCTCTGTGCAGGCACAGAGGAGGGAGGGAGGTGGCGTCGGGGATGGGCGTCTGCGTTACCTCTGTGAAGTGCAGCACGCAGGAGCAGAAAGCCGAGGAGGAGCTGAGCAGAGTCTGGATGAATCCTCGGCTCAGCTGGAACCGGTCGGCCACGCTCCACAGGTTCGTTTCCTTCAGCAGCGAGAACAGGACCAGAGCCAGATACATCCTGCTGACCACCGCCATGGTCACGCTCTGAAGCACAACAACAACAACAAGGACGCACTGAGTGACCACGACCACGACCAGCTGCTCTCACTCCAGACGTCACACATGATCAAGAGACGGGACTCTTCTTACGTTCTTCACCGTCTGTCCTGCAGCTTTTCTCGCAACGAAACTCTCGGGGACGCCGACGGCCGCAGACATCCTCTGCTCCGCGGCCGACAGCAGCGTGAACTGAAAAACAAAGGTCACGCCGTCACACGGCGACACGGAGACAACGAGACATCAGCGTCCAGCAGGGACTCCGTACCTGTCTGAAGTAAATCATCCAGTCGGGTTTGACCTGAGAGATCATGTCGTACGGGGTGACCAGGTACACCAGGTGGAGGTAACTGTTGAGCAGCAGACCCTCCAGACCCCTGCACAGGTCTCTGTACAGGAGGTCACTGTAGGTCAGATCCACCGAGCCTGAGGACCACAGGTGGACACGAGTCACTTAACTGCACCAACAACCACACACACACACACACACACACACACACACACACACACACACACACACACACACACACACACACACACACACACTTTGCGATGCTGGACGCTGGTGGTGCAGACGAATCAGCTCCCACGTGATCAGGACATGATGACATCATCAGGAGCGGTTTACCTTTGTAGGTGGCTCTTCCCAGCTTGGTGACCTGCAGCGTTTGACCCTGTGAGTCGGAGGTCACAGTGATGAGCTCCTTCTCCTTCAGGAGGTCGACACACTGCGTCACCACCTCCCACAGGCTCCTCCCCACACACAGCTGTGTCTGCTGCACGAACAGCAGCGTCCCCTTCAGGAAGTCCCTCAGCTGCTCGGACGAGGTGGTGATCTGCAGGAACACAGAGCCGGTTCACCAGTGTCCACACAGGTAGGCTCACCTGGCCTATGACAGAGGGACTTACATTCAGTCCAATCAGAGACAGGATGAGACTCAGGACGCCTTTCCCCTCGTCATGCAGCAGGTTACTGTAGCAGTTCTCCATCGGCGCACACACAAGAGTCTGAGCCTGAAACACAAATCAATCAGCAATTATTCTGATTAACAACCAGCTCAGTTACTTTTTATTTTTTTAGTTTTTCCTTTATTTCCTGGTTCCAGCCTCTTAAATATGAGGATTTAATGTTTTTCTTTGTCAAACATGTTGCTCAGACAGAACCAGACATTTGAAGATGTCACCTGTGTGGAAAAGGTATTTAAATGTATGTATAATGTATTTTAAACTATTTCTTGGGATATTATAGAGCTGAAAAACAGAACACACCAGGTGTCAAATCCTTTATAGAGTTGTGATGTTTGAGGATTAACATCAACATTCAGTGACGTTCTCTGGAGCTGAAACAATCAGCTGATCTTTTAAGCAAGAATACCAACAACTCTCAGAGGTGAATATTTCTTTCTTTCCTTGAATCTCTGTGTTTTGACTGTTGCTATGACAAAACGAGACACTTACAGACTTTATTCACTATTTCTATTTCTGGACATTTTATCAGCCATAAATTTTTCCTGATCTCCGACACAGAAGTCCAGGAGTGTTCTACATAATTTAACCAGACTCAGACCGGACCATCAGTTCTAATTATCTGGTCCCATTTCCTGGGAACAGTGAGAAACATGAGAACCAGGGACCAGATCAGTTCCTGCAGCCTCATCGTGTGTCTGGGTGCAGTCACCATGTTCCTGTCCTTGTCCTGCAGGATGAGGACACTCTCTCCCACAGTGTCGATCCCGGCTCGCCCGGCCCGCCCCACCATCTGTTTGTACTGACTCCTCTTCAGGAAGTCTGTGGCCACGTACGGAGACCGCAGGATGACTCTGGAGAGAGGACATCAGGCCAGAGACGGGTTACACTCGTCCTCTCATGAGGTGAATTTATTTTTTTGTATATTTTTTGTGAATAACATTTTATTTTTTTAAGAAATATTTTTTGTGAGTAATATCTAATTTTTTCGAGAAATATTTTTTTGTGAGTAAAATTTGTTTTTTTGAGTTATGTTTTGTGAGTAATATTTTTGAGAGTAATTTTTGTTTGTAATGTTTATTGTGAGTAATATTTAATTCTTCTGTATATTTTTTGTGAGTAATATTTTATTTTTTTATATATTTTTTGTGAGTAATATTTTATTTTTTTATATATTTTTGTGAGTAATATTTTATTCTTTTGTATATTTCTTGTGAGTAAAATTTGTTTTTTTTGAGTAATATTTTTTTGAGTAATGTTTTTGAGAGTAATTTTTTATTAATGTTATTAGTGAGTAATATTTTATTCTTTTGTATATTTTTTGTGAGAAACATTTAATTTTTTTGAGTAATATTTTTTTGAGTAATGTTTTTGAGAGTAAGTTTTTTTAATGTTATTTGTGAGTAATATTTTATTTTTTTTAATTAATTTTTTTTTTAGTTATGTTTTTGTGAGTAATATTTTATTCTTTTGTATATTTCTTGTGAGTAAAATTTGTTCTTTTTGAGTAAGTATTTTTTTGAGTAATGTTTTTGAGAGTAATTTTTTATTAATGTTATTAGTGAGTAATATTTTATTCTTTTGTATATTTTTTGTGAGAAACATTTAATTTTTTTGAGTAATATTTTTTTGAGTAATGTTTTTGAGAGTAAGTTTTTTTAATGTTATTTGTGAGTAATATTTTATTTTTTTTAATTAATTTTTTTTTTAGTTATGTTTTTGTGAGTAATATTTTATTGAGTAATGTTTATTTTATTTTTGCTGAAATAATTCCATTTAATTTTTTACAGTGTACTAAATTCTCCTTCTACATTGTTAAAATGTGGAATCTGACACCTGGATTATTCATATAACAAAACAGTGGATGAGCTTATTGCAAAAAGTAACATTTCCTTGCCAGATATGGCGGCCATCTTGAATTTCGAGTGGTTAACATGTTTTTTGTGCCACGTTTAGTATTTGTATCCACATTTGAAAGATTTCCCTGTCTTGACCGAGTCAGCTGCTTCCTGTCTCACCTGCGGGCAGGTAGGTTGATCCCTGCGGCGAGGGTGGATGTACAGGTGAGGAGACAGAGGACCCCGTTGGAGTAGGCCTCCTCCACCAGCTTCCTCTCCTCCGTGGTCAGTCCGCTGTGGTGATAGGCCAGACCATACGGCACCGTCCTCCTGAACACTGGACACAGCGAGCCGTTCCCGCTGTCCCGCAGCTCTCTGAGGAGGACGGCCTTCTCCGCCTCCTTGTGCCGCAGGAAGTCCCTGAACAGGATCAGACACACAAACCGGATCAGTCGGCGCCGGCGACCCCGGACCAGGAGACCAGAGTCGCTCAGACTCACTCTTTCAGATATTTGCAGATCATCCCTGCGACGTTCTCACAGTTCTTCTTGGTGGGACAGAAGACCAGACAGGAATGTGTTGGAATGACCTCAGTGACCAGAGCGATGATGTGATCCGGGTCGATCTTCTGCATGGCACTGGAGTACTGAAGGAGAGCACAGACGTCTGACACACGGTCGTATTCATGTCACATCTGAACTCTTCAGGATCACAGCCAATGATCTCACTCGTTACAAACAGTACAACACGAACAAGTCTGACACTGTGACATCAAGTTTCCTTAAGATGGAGGAGGGAGATTTTGACTTATTGATAATAAATATGAAAACTAGAACCACCTCCTCGTGGTCGTATCCCTCCTCCTCTCGCACTAGTTTCAGGTCACATCCTCGTTTTTCCAGAATCTTAAACATTTCTTTGTCATAATTGCCGTGTGAAAAAGTGTTTTGTGAGATCACCGTGACCTTGACCTTTGACCTTTAGCCACCAAAATCTCATCAATTCGTCCTTGAGTCCAGGTGAATGTTTCTGCCTCAAGGCGTTACTGTCGCCAACGTGGAGGCATAAAAACAACAACATATACAAATAACAGGCTGACCCCACATCACACAGCTCAAACACCTGGTAGTGTCACCTGTGGGAGGGTCTTACCTCCTGACAGGTGAATAATAAACTACAGTCAGTGTTGGCATCATGTCGTCTTCAGCAGACAGAGTGCTTCTCCTGCATCTCTGGCCTGACAGTGAACGCACCACTCAGATGTACATTCACCTTGAAGTTGAGGAGACGTGAGAACTTGAAGCAGTCTTCTTCCTTTGGGTCCACTTCATAGATGGTGTCGTTCAGTTTGACGTATTCTTTCAGCTCCACCTGAGAGGACGGAGGAATAAGACACACACAGTGCCTGTTAGTAGAGACTGTCATTGTTGGTTTGAAGTATATAACAACATATACAGAACATCAGCTGCTTTAAAAACAGCTGTGGAGCATTTAATGACTTACAGGTCTGAAGTCGTTGGTGTAATTCTCAGCCTTTAAAAATGTCTGCAGGTCTCTGATGTTTCCCAGAGTGGCGCTCATCCCGATGATCTGAGTATTTCCTGGAGGAGAAAACAGGAGAATCATTCATTTAATTCATTGATTAAAAGATCAATAAAAAGACCTGTGATCACTTACTGCTCATATACAGAACTTTAGCCAGCGTCATTTCAATAACAGCCCCTCTGCTGCCGTCTCCCAGCATGTGAAGCTTCACGTGAAGAAAAACACAGTGCGTTAACCCTTTAATATGTAAAACCCCTTTGATTATATTCATTATTATCAAGTTGTTGTACCTCATCAACCACCAGCAGCCCCAGGTTCTCCAGCCGCCCGCTCTCTATCAGAGAGTTCACCAGGCTGTGAGCTTTCTCTATGGTGGCGATGTACAGCGAGCTCGTGTTCCTCCTCCTCACTGGCGGGAACTTGCCCTTACTGCCGGCGTACTCCTCCACCGTGAAGTCCAGCTCCAGGCCGAAGCTCGCCAACCCCCGCACCTGAAAACAACCAGGAAGGGAGGGGGGGGGGCCGGCTGAGCACCAGAGGAGACTGAGGTTTCAGTCAGAGCCTGAAACTCTGGCACTTAAAACAAACTGTTATCGTAGAGCTTTTCCTGATTTTATTTTAATTTTATTGACAACTTTTTAGTTTTGTTTGCTTTTGTTTATTAAAGCTTTTTAGATCTATTTTATTGTATCTCATTCTCAGCTTTCTCACTTGATTTGTCCTTTTCTTTTCAGCTCATCAGTCTGTGAAGCTCTTTGAACTGAACTAACCTGTATGAAAAGTGCTGTACAAATAAAGTTTGATTGATTGAATTCTTTATTAACCTTTGGTCTATTTGTATTTCTGATTTGCGCATTTTAATTATAACTTGCATGTTTTATTTTGCGGCCTTGTGTAAAACACGTTGTAACGCGGGTTTAGACAAGTGCTATAAATAATACATTATTTTTATTATTACAACTACTGGTTCAAAGATCCAGTGCTGTGAAGTTTAGGAAAGGTGTCCCACCAGGCTCTGTTCTCGGTCCTCTTCTACTCTCTATATTTACATTAATATCATCTCTGTGAAGCTGTGACGTACAGTTTTATGCAGATGATTCCATTTTTTATGTCAGAGGTCTTCTCTTAATTCAGATCTCCCTCATCAACCATTGATTGATCAGACTGAAATTGTTCAATGTCACAAATATTTAGGAATCTTGTTAGATAACAGAATCACAAGATCCATGTAGAATTATTTTTTACCTATTTAATCAAACACCATAATTAGATTTCTGTACAAAAATGAATAAGCGTTCTCCTGTTAGTTTGATTATTGTTCAGCTTTCATCTCTGTGCTTGATTATCATAACCCTAACCCTTATATATATATATATATGCAGCCTCGCTCTCCACCTGAAATCTAGATCTAAATCTATCAATGTAGACTGAACTTTATCACAGCTGATAGATTCTCTTTAATGAGCAGTTGTACTGTTCATTATTTATCTCTAACTTTAGCTGCTCTGTGCCACATGTTCAAACTGAGCTGGACAACCTGCTTGTAAAAACTGAGCTCTTTAAAAACCGAATTAAAACATTATATTTGAGTATTTTGAACATGTGAACTGACTGTTGTTGTTATTGTTGAGTACAACAGATCTGTTTTCATGCCTCAGTGTTTCTCTGGTCTCTGTACCTTCTCCTGCACCAGAGATATATAAGGTAAGATGAACAGACAGTCCTTCTTCCTGCACAGCAGCTCTCTGAGGACGAGGATCTCTGCGACCAGAGTTTTCCCTCCGCTGGTGGGAAGAGAGTAGATCAGATTCTTCCTCTGCTGGACACAGTCCAGGTTCAGACACGTCTCCTGCCAATCTGAAACACAGGAGGAACAAAGCTTTAAAACATCCACAAAATCCACCTACACACCTCTGAAATCCGATTGTTTAACCCCAACAAAAACATGTAAAAAATGTCATTTATTATTCTCACAATTTATTGATTAGTCTAAAAAATATCAGAAAACTGTGAAAAACACCCATAAAAACACAAGATGACGTCTTCAAATGTCCTTTTTTTAATCTGACTAAAACCCAGAAATACTCAATTAAACATCACAGAAGAAAAAGAAAGTTACATTACAAAAGCTGGAACCAGGAAAATATAATCATTTGTTTTAAAAAGAGACTGTCAATAAAAGTTGTGTTGATCTACAGTCGTTTTGACACTGTGGCCTTTATTTATTCTATTTAATCGTTTATTTTTCAATTTTGTTTGTCACTTTCTCAATGTCTACTTTATCTAGTATCATTTTGTATTTTAATTATCTATTTACTTATTTAAAAAAATATATATATAAATTGGTTTTATCGTGACACTATCGTTATTTGAGAAACTGTTTTGACCTGTCAGTCTTTAAAGCACTTTGATTAACCTGCACAAAAAGTGATAGACGAGGGCTGAAACAATAAGTTGATTAATAGTTGATTGATTAGTTGATCAACAGAGAATAATCAGGAACTATTATGGTAATTGATTAATAATAAATTTTTTGTTTCAGCCTCTGAAATGTGAGAATTTTCTACTTTTCATCGTCACATCTCAGAATGAACTGAATCTCTTTGGGTTTTAACTGCTGAACAAACAGAACCAAACATTTGAAGTCGTCACTTTGTGTCTCTGGGAAGGTCAATGAGCATTTTTATAATAATCAGTGTGAATTAATAATTAAAATTGACTGATTGACAGAAAAATCAGACAGAACGGTGCATCACCATATAACTTCTGGATTCCTCTCAGTTTGTGCATCAGGTCTTTTACTTTGGAAGGGAGTCCATAGAAGGGCCCGAGGTCGGGCGTCTCAGCTGACACCGTCTCCATGGCCTGCATGGCGACGCTCATCTCCTCGGAAACCACTGCCTCCTTTAACACCACGGTCCGAGAAAGATTTGAGGGAGCGGCAGCGTTACCGAGCATCGTCCTCTTCAGCTTGTCCGTCACACTCCTTCTCGCTTTGCTTCGTCTCTTTGTCTTATCGTCCATGTTCCTGTCCGTCCCCGCCTCAGCTGTCCCCTCAGTGTCTCTGGAAGGTGTCGAGGTTTTCCCTCCGTCCTGCAGCCGGCTCCTCTTCACATGTTCATCCACCTGTTCCTGAAACTGAACCTGGCTGGACGGCATGTCCTCAAAGGGTTCGTCTCCGAGTCCGTTTAAGATGGAGTCTGTGAGGTTGTCCTCACCGGACCAAGTCCAGACGGCCTCCTCGGCCAGTCCCAGAGTCCTGAAGTCCTGCTGATCCACAGCAACGATGTGAGGTGAAGTCTGGACGTCACGCTGCCTTTCACTTTGTTCTGCATCGTCCAGCTTCGCCAGGAAGGAGCTGCCCTCCAGGAGACTGTCATAGTCCCCGAATAAGTCCTCACTGCTGCTGCAGTACTGCCGAATAAACACAGTTACACAGTTACACCTGATGCAGCTGCATGTCCTCTGATCAGTGGAGGCGGAAACATGAGCCGAAATCATTGGTTTACTAATCACTTGTGTCATTTATCAGATAAACACACCACATAATTGCTGGTTCCAAACTCTAAAATGTAAAGATGTGCTGCTTTTGTGGGTCAAATCTGATAATAAACTGAATGTGTTTGATAATAAACTGAATATATTTGGGTTTTAAACTGTTTATCAAACAAAACATGACATTTGAAGATTTCTCTTTGGGCTTTGAGAAAAATATGATCAACATACGTCACTATTTTCCTATATCTTATAAAAAAACAAATAAATGATTATTCCAGCGACTTACTTTCATTAAGGCAGGAGACAGATCAAAATCCTGTAATGTCATATTGGAGTTACCAGGTAGTAATTACCTCTGAAAACTTGTGATATATCCAAATTGGTGTTAAATAAAAAAAGAAGTGCATGAAAACCAAACAAACATGAACTCCTCATGTCAGCTGGAGTTCATCATTCATGGTGTGTGTCAGGCTCTAAAACACTGGATCCTTCACTTTTAATCTATAATGAAAACTATTTTTAGTTGCAGCCCCATTTCATCTGCTGATTATCTTACTTTTAAAAGTTTAATCTTTAAAATATCAGTAGATGGTGAAAAATGTACGTCAAATATCCAACAGCCAAAAAACCCAAACACATTCAGTTTCAAATCACAGAAGTCAAAGAAAATGATCAAATATTCACATTAGAGCTGGAACCTGAATGTTTTGGTATTTAAGCTTAAAAATGACATTTTGCAGTATATGAATCACTTCAGCTCTAATTAAGACAAAGACAAAACAACACATTCACATTCGAGAGGCTAGACGTGTTGAATATTTGGCATTTCTGCTTGAAAAATGATTGAAACTGACTAATAGATCTATCGGCTCAGGATCAATGCTTGGATGATGGTAACACACCTCAGCAGGTTGTATTTGAGCCATGATGCTGCTAAGCTTCCTGTTTCTGGGACATTGCTGTAGACAGGTTCCCCCTCCTCTCTTCTTCCTGGCAGGTGTCAGGTGAGTCTGCAGGCTGACCCTCGACCTCTTCTTCGAGGAAACTCTTTTTATTTGGATTTCCTGCTTCCCAGCATTCATCACTGTCCAGGTTCAGCTGGTGCTACATGTTGAAACTGTGTCAGCAGGTGAACAGAGACTGTGACACTGACAGTTAACTGTTCACAGGAGAGGAGCTGAGACACTGCTACACACTCCTGTACATCGTTATCAATTACACTTCTGTATTAGCGTTGTTAAAAGTCATTAACAGCACCGTTAAACGTGTTTTTGTTCAGAAAAAAACCTAACCAACGTTACCTAATATGGTAGCTAGCTTACTCCTGACAGTTTAACGGCCCAGTTCGCTCCCTCAGCGTGTTCACTAGTCACGATAAACGCAACAGATTAATTATAATTGTCCGTTAAAATGTATAAACTTCTGTCGCCGAGATAATTTAACAAAAACCGCTCGTTTAGTTCAAGCGAAGCCACCAACAGCTCTGAGCATCACATTTAAATCTCTGAACAGCTTCGTTAGAGCAAGAGAGAAATCCCAACATCATTTCCGTTTCCGTTTTACCAGTTAGCTCGCTCGTAAAACTGGGAGCTTGTCTATGTTCCCACAGCCCTATGTTAAGAAATATGGGACCATAGGGTTTCCTTTTGAGAAAAATCTTAGGCCTTGTCCACATTAACCCGAGTAAATATAAAAATGCACATTCACAATGAAAACGATCTCCATCCACACTAATCGTTTTCAGAACGCTTTGCATCCACGTTCCACGGCGTCTTCACATTTATCCACCTCAGCGATCGTTTTTGTAAAGCATCGTTTTCAATTATGGAATTCACTGTTCTAATGTGGACGGAAGGGCTAACCTGATAAATATTACCCGGGTTAGTGAGGACATGAGCTTATGGGAACATATAAGACTGTGGGAAAATAGGGCCTAATTTTCAAAACATTTTTTAGAAATGTGGGAACATAGGGCTGACCCCGTAAAACTAACTGCTTCATTACTTAATTTATTCCATTTTTGTTTTTACTTGCTACTTGTTACTTGGCGCTACTAAAGCGGCGCCATTTTATGACAATTCGTAGCTTTTTTTGCCTGTGCCGTGTCGCTAAAGTGCTTAGCATGCTAACAATGAGCTGCAAACAATGAAAATTTAAGAGATTCTGGTGAAAAATCACATGATGACGTTAATGCGACGTTGTAATCACAAATAATGTCACAAAATTTCTTGATAATACATTTGTTAGCGAGATGTGGAACTACGTCGCTGATTCAGGGGGGATTTATGTCTTGTCTTGTTATATCTTTGAATAGGGTAACGGTTAAACTTTCCCCAGAAAAAAAACATCAAATCGGAACTAAGTGCATTCATGTCCGAAATTTAAAATCTGAGGAGTAAAATAAATAAATGAATAAATTTTAAAAATCACATGTTACTTATTTATTTACTATTTGCAAACGAAGCTATAATTCAACCTTCCCTCTATTCACAAAAAATAACTTTAGAAGTTGTTATTTGTAAAAATTAAAAAAAAAAAAACGACATTGATAATTGCTCTTTCAGCGGACTTGATGATGAAACAAAATTACGTTTATTTTGGAGCCACTTTCCTTATTCAAACATTTTTTGGAAAGAATTTCGTTGTAACATCTCATTTTAAAAAATCATAATAAAATATAACATAGAAACTACTCAGCAGTATTGTATTATTGATGATTGATTATGTTTTCATTAATTAATTGCCCCCTTTTAACCCCTTACAAAGCCAAAAAAAAAGTTGTTAGAAGTTTTAGGAACTAATTGTTAGATAACTCAGTGATGAGACACCGGACACTTTCAGGTGCCGGACGGCTTCCTGTCCTGTGTCAGGTCAAAATGCTGTCTCTGAGGTTGCTGCAGCGGCTAAACCCCGTTTTACCTCAACATGGAAACACAAGTAAGACTAAATAAACACTGTAACGTCTGTGTGAACGTGTCACTGAGTTTATCAGGTTGTAAAAGAAAATGTCGCCGTTTGTTTTCAATGTAATTTTGATCCTGTGTCAGCAGATGCTAATGCTAACGTTAGCCTGCGAGAAAACGAGCTGCTCTGATAACATGTATTTCTGCAGGTTTAAGAAGTTTGACTTCACATGTAGTCCAACAGAGAGATGACACGGTGGGTAATGAGTTATATAATAATAATATTACAGTAATAAATCACTAATAACAGGGTTAATTTAATAACACAATATTGTTTTATCTGCACGTTGAAGCTCGTAAAAATGGAAAACCCGTACAAAGAACCAGAGAAAGGCTGTGTCCTCTGCAACGTCAAGGTGGACTACAAAAATGTTCAGGTGAGTGAGGCACCTGAGGCTCTTACCCTGACGTCATACGTGTGTTTGTGATGGTGAATTAAGCCTGTCAGTCAGTTGTGTTGAAGCTGGGTTAAATCTATGTACCTGGACACACCGCGTCAACCAGCACGTTTACATGACTGTAAATGAAGCTTAAGACGTAATCATTGACGTCACATCTGCAGTAATACTCGACACACTTTGTGTGACGTCACTAAGTGTATTTACCCGTGTTCGTTGCAGCTGCTGTCCCAGTTCATCTCCCCTCACACAGGCAGAATCTATGGCCGACACATCACAGGTGAGCGGCTGCACATTACACTGCACCTGTCAGCTGACGTCACAGCAGGAGATCTGAACTGATCCACGTTGTCTCTGTTTCAGGCCTGTGTGGAAGAAAACAGAAGGAAGTCTCCAAAGCCGTAAAGAAAGCTCACTCCATGGGTAAATATCCTTCTAGACAGGATTTATTCAATGTTAAAGTTAATAATAATCACAGTGAAGATGTGGTTGTTCAGGTTTAAGATGTTTATCTTTGGTCACTGCTGGAATCTGCTGCACCTGTCACCAGGTGCTTTCACAGTGATTTTCACTCACGTGACTCTGTACCATGTTCTCCCCCCAGGTTTCATGTCGGTGACCCACAAGCACCCACAGCTCATGAGGGACCCCAACGTGTGTGGAATCAAACATCTGGATTAGTGGATCAGTGTGTTATTTAATCTGTGTTCATGTGTTTATTAAACCCTGTAATTTCTGACCTGAGTGGGTGTCAGTTTATAAAGTTCATCTCCTCCACCTCGTTAGTTTCTCCTAATGAACTGAAGTGTTCATGTCCCAAAGGTCACACTCATCTTTTACACTTCAGTCAGCCAGAACTTCGTCTGTGTTTTTCACCCTGAACTGAAGAAATCTGAGGAAATGATCAGCTGATGAACAGACGTTAAAATGTGAGTCTCGCAGGTAAAATCTCTCGTGTCAAGAATTGAGGGTTCGAGTCCAACTCAAGGCCGTTTGCTGCTCTCTCCAACTTTCCTCTCTCTCCCTGCAGCCACAATAAAAAGACAAAAATGCCACAAAAAAAAACTTAAAATAAAAAATCTGTGAAAACATGAACGTCAATGTCGTCTCTAAATATCTTGTTTTGTCCGACCATCAGTTCAGAACCGAGAGATTCAGTTCAGATGTAAAACAAGCAGCTGATAATGATAAAAGATGGTCGAACCAGCTGCTGATTATTTTCCTGTTGATCAACTTAGTGTTTTCTTTTTGAAAACTTAATTTCTCATAATGACTTGAAGGTTAAAAACTTCAGTATTAAAACAAATGACTTGATTTTGGGGTAAAAGTTTGTATCTGAATATTTTTCAACAGTAAAATCTCGACCTGAACAAAGTATTCGGCGTTACTTGTGACTTATGTGTGTGAACTTTTTAATGACTGTTGAATTATGTCTCGCAGTATTTTAACTGTATTGTTGATTCAGATTCTCAGTCAATGACAGCAACACTTTTTTTTAACCAAACAAAACGTCTTTATCAATAAACGATTTTTAAACAATTCAAAATACACAAACTGTACATTTCCAGAGCCGACGTTCAGTCATCAACACCAACCGTCATCGCCTTCCAACTGAGTTTAGTGACGTTAGAAGCATGTGACCAACAACAGCTGATAAAAAGATGGAGTCTGACTTTGATGAATCCAGTTTAGTGTTTCTCATCAGGACTGGTTCTTCCTGCGTTTCCTCTCCCTCCCCTCCGTCGTTTCTTTCAGCCTCTTCCGACAGTTCGTCCTGTTCTGGTTCAGCAGAGACAGAGTTTCCTGAGTCTTCAGTGCGTCTGACTTGGAGTCGTCGTCTCCGTCGTCCTGCTCGGCGCCGCAGCAGACGGCGGGAACAGGGAAGGCCTCGAGGGTTAAAGTCTGAGTGTGGAAGAGAGGAGAGCAGGAGAACAGAGCTCTGACGGCCTCGTGCAGCAGCAGGTTGTTCTTCTGTTCAGGTGGATCCTCGACCGGCTCTGATCAGAGAGAGAACACACAATGTAAGACCAGGACCACAACACAACTGTCACCTACAGGGTGAGCCTCTGCAGTCTCATCACAGCTCATCATCTGAGCCATTCTCTGAGGTGAACGTGACACACACACACACACACACACACACACACACACACACACTGAGCTCACCTTTTCCCGCCTTGCTCTGCCTCTTCTCTCGGACGCGGCTCCTCAGAGCTGAAACGTCGGCCTGCAGCGTCTCCACCACTCGTTCACTCTCCTCCACGTCTCTGCACGCCTTCTGTCCAATGCAAAACACAGACTGTGTGTGTGTGTGTGTGGAGCTGCAGGAAGTACACACACACACACACACTCACACACAGGCACACGCACACACATGACAACAGCTCCCCCCGCCCCTCACCTGTAGCTCCGCCTGCAGGGACTCGTTCATTTTATTCACTTCGTTCACTTCTCTCAGGAGCCCGTTGGAGGAGAAGAATTTAGACCTGAAGCAGCAGGAAGTCACAGTTACAGGAGCAGAGACACACACACACAGACGTGATGCAGGCGTGTGTGTGAGCGGGGTTGTACCCGTGTTTCTTCATGGTGAGGTTGTAACCGGCCGCGGAGCAGGGAGCCGACACCTTCCAGTACGACAGCTGCTCCAGTAAACCCAGGTTATTAACCAGAACAGGAACATTGATGAACGTCCTGCACCACAGAAGAAGAAGAGACAGTATTTCACCAACATCACATGTTCAGACTTTAACTGGAGGATAAAGGTTTTAAACATGAATCTGACTGAACTGACAGAAGAGGTGTAGAGAGCGAAACTCCTGGATTCACACGTTTTCTTCAGTTCAAGTGCAGATGTATCAGCGCTGAAGCTACCACAATTAGCTGATTAATCTTTAGTCAATCCAAAGAAAATCAATCATAATGACTTTATGCAGAATAAAACATATATTATCAGATTATAATTTCTGATACATTAATGCGTAAAGTGGAGCTAATTTAATTACTCCATATTCTGATGGAAGATCTGTCAATTATTTTAATAATTGCTAAATTATTTTCAAGCAAAAATGACAAATACTTTGAAGTTTTGAGCTTTTTGTTGCATAAAACAATAAAACAATAAGAAGTCGTCTCCTGTCGATGAAGGAAAATATAATGTAAGAGACATTTTTCACTGTTTCTGATGTTTTATAGACAAAAAGATTAATAGAGAAAATAATCAGCAGATTAATCGATAACAGTCGTTAGTTGCAGCTGGTGCGTGTGTTCAGGTGTGATGAGTTACGAGTGTGATGATAACACACGTGTGTGTGTCACCTGCTGCGGGAGATGAAGGCGGCGTACTCCATCCTGTGGGTGGAGCCTGGTGATGTCAGCTTGCTGGGCGTCAGCAGCACAAAGATCATGTGAGGGTTGGACAGAGACGTCTTCAGGTTCTCGTGCACGATCTTCTCCCTGAACGACATCAGCTGATCCGTGTTCCTGCGCTGCCTGTACCAACCAATCACACTCTCCTCCACACCGACCACAGCAGCTCCGTCAGTCACGGCAGGTTCACATCCACAGGTACAGTCTGAGGGTTTGTACTTACCTGCTTATTGTCTGGCAGGAGCCTCTTCACCGCCTCCACGTTCACGTCTCCTACACTGTTGTAAAAGCTTCACACACACAAACGAAAACAGTGTGACATTAACACAACTGAAGGACTCCAGCTGCAAAACATCTGCAGCGTTAACAGACAGAGACTCACGTGTTCAGTTTGTGGCAGGCGACGTGCTTCTGGATATCTGTTGACAAAATAAAAGACTTATTATACAACAGTGGAGGAAGGATTCAGATACTTCAGTGAAGTAAAAGTATGAATATCACAATGTAAATGTAAAAATCCTTCAGGTCAAAACTATTTCACTATAAAAATATCATCAGCTTCCTGTAGTTAAAGTATCAAAGTAAAAGATCTGCAGTAAAATATTCTCATATTTCACAATTTGCAGGATTTTATGTGATAATTATAATTTATTTTGTTTGCAAAATCTTAATCTATAAAGTAACTAGTAATTATAACTGTCAGAGGAATATAATGCAGTAGAAAGTACTACAGTACGTGTAAATGTACTCGGTTACACTCCATGGACCAGGAAGTAACGCTGCGTCTGACTGAGATTAACTCACTGTAGATTTCCTCTATGTGGATGTGATCAGCCTGAGAGTCGCTGATGGTGACCTGCTCCTCAAATTTACTCTCTCCGAGGATGAGACCCTCCTGAGGTGACGGGACAGACCCAAACAAAGAGTGATTATACAACAAGAAGACAAAAAAACTAAGAAGTGAAACAAACACACGGGGATTAAAAAGACTCATGAACAGGATTCAAAAAGCAAACAAATCATAAAGAAGACAATAAGATAAAACTGAACAGAGTTTATAGATTAACTGATTAGTCAACAGAAAAATAAGAGGTAACTATTTTGATAACTGATCATTTCACTAATTTTTCAATAGTCAAACAAAGACAAATATCCTCTAATTTCAGCCTCTGAAATGAGAGGAATTGCTGCTTTTCTTTGACAGATTTCACTGTAAACTGAATATTTTAGTTTTTAACTGTTGGTTGAACAAAACAAAAAAACATTTGAAGACATCACCTCCATTTCTGCAAAGCTGTGATTGATCATTTTACTGTTAGTAAAAGTACAAAAATATTAGCACCTAAATATAAACATGCTTTTCAAGCAGATGGCTCATTTCAGAATAATGTATAGTATATTATAGATCTGTAATTATTGATGCATTAATGTGATCATCACTTTAATCCTGCAGCTGGTGAAGGTGGAGTTCATTTTAATACTTTATATACTGCTGGGCAGTTTGTGACTTTCCCCCAACGGGTCAATAAAGTCTTATTTTAATTAATTTTAATGGATCTGCAAAGTGACTTAGTTATTAAATAAATATAGATGAGTAAAAAGTACAATATTTCCCTTTTAAAATATAGTGAAGCAGAAATATAAAGTAGCATCAAACTGAGTACTTAAATACAGTACTTGAGTAAATGCACTTAGTTAATATATTTGACATTAACTTAGTACACAGACTAATGGATAATGAAGTAAACATTACTTTTCTGCTGGTGGTAGTTGGTGCATCAGACTTGTATTTACAGTAGTTCTACCACAACAGTGATGGGCGGTAACTGGGCGCCAGTTCTTTAAGTTGATATTTGACTCATGTAATAATCACTTGTTGGATTATACATTTGCCAAATTCACCATCAAACTCGAATTACTTTTAAAATGTATTCAGTCATCTTTCATAAGTATGTATACATGTTTATACTATAGAGAAACTGTGAAATTACAGGATTTTAAACAGAGTCTGGTGTGTGGGAAATGTTGACGCGTTAGCTTGGCTAAAAAGTTTTAGGAACACCTTGGTGGGAGTTTTAGCTTCTCATAAACGACAAGCATTTCTCCACTGCTCCAAAGCACAAACTGAAACCTTAACAGCTACATTACTAAACAAGAACTAATCAACTTTAAAGTTTAGTGACGTCGGGACACTTGAGTTCTGTTTGCTAGCTTCCCTCCGTAACACGAAGCACTTTAGCTAACAGCCCAGAATGCTCCGTTGAAAACACGTCGGTTTTAATCGGGTATAAATGCGTCACCCACCACGTCTGAATCACTGTTGACGTGCTGAAACATCAGAGAAGCTAACACGATCCCAGACATTCGGACAGTCGGTTCCGCCATGCTGCTTCTTCATAACAAAGATCGGTCCTTTCCGAACGTCACTGAAGCGCCACATAAGCGCAGTAGAATGCTGCGTTTTTCCCGCGCAGCGCGTCATGAGGAAGGGGCGGGGCTTCAACAGCCCACTGACTCGGCTTTACTCTGGAAAACCAGACAAACTGTCTCTTTGGCTTCAGGACATTTTACTCCTCTGTGAACCGTCTCTTCGACTTTCAGGTATTTAATCCAACACCTATATTAATGTGCACGTGTGTTTGTGTCGTTTATGTCTCTGTTATTCGGGTTTTAGTTTAGTTTAGATGAAACTAAAAGACTGACTTCGACTAACGGTAACTCACAGTCTGTTCTTTGTACATTTACTCAAGTACTTTACTTCAGTACAGGCAGGAGGAAGAAGTACTCACATCCTTTACTGTAGTTAAAGTACAAATACAACATGTACGAATACTTCATTACAAGTAAAAGGCCGGCAGTCATAGTTTTACACAACTACATTTTCTTTATACAGAATGCCCCCTTATATAATGTTACACTTATTTATTTATTTATTTAATACAATATTTAATTATTGTATTAATATTATGATTATTATAGATGCATTAACATGTAAGCAACATTTTTAGGTTGTAGCTGGTTTAAACAGAGCTACTTTTAACTACTTTAATACTGATTTAATTTATAAAATGCATAATATTTTACAAGATAATCACATGTAATAAAGCAAATGTTTCAATCAACAAATAACATGAAATGTAAATACTACAACTACCTTGAAACTGTAATTGAATTGTGCATTTTACTAAACTACATTTATTTGACATAAACAGACCTAATTAGTTTTCATTAGGATTTTATGTTGAATAACATATAATAAGATCATAACATTGAATACATTGTTAAAGATTAAACCAGTGGTTCCCAGTCTTCTTGGTTTGTGACACGTTTCCCTAAAAATGATTAATGAATTCATCAATATTAGTCGATCAACAGAAAATGATTTGATTGTGATTTTTGAAGCTCAGTCACAGCTTCTCAGATCAGAGGATTTAATGCATTTCTTTGTTGTATTTGATAGAAAACTGAATATTTAAACAACAAAACAGTGAATTGTTAATGATGTCAACAAAGACATTTAGTTTACGATGATAGAAAACTGAGAATCATCACGTTGGAGAAGCTGTTTGATTGAAAAGTGACTCAAACAATTAATCAATTATCAAAAAATAATGTAGTTTTACAAATTTTCTGTTGAGAAAAGGCTGTAGTAGTGGAGGTGGAGCTAGAGGAAAAGTCAGTGGGGTTGATCCTCTGGGGACCATGAGTGTTTGTACAGTCCATGCAGTAGTAGTCGGGGTGTTTGAGTCTGTGTTATTCTGACTGACCACACGGAGTCTGCTGCCGCTGCTCCTGTGTTGCAGATGATGACGTGACCTCGGAGCTGCAGAGCGGTGGCCGCCTCAGCTGTCAGTGATGGAGGACGTCTGGTCTGTGGCCGTGGGAGTTTTCCAGGTGTGGATGTTTGTGGTGGTCTTCTTCATCATGCTGCCTGCCATGTTTGGCCTCTCCCTGGGGGTCACCGGAGTCTACATCCAGATCCTGGTCAAAATCCTGGAGGTAACTGAAACAGAGAGTTTTATTGAACTCAGACACTTTGTCCTCAGGGGAACTTGTGGTTGCCCTCTTCACTCCTTCCTTACTCAACATGTGTGTACAGTTATGAAATGTGCAGCAGCAGCCACCGGGTCAGAGGTCATCTGAAAATAACTGTCTTTGTAGTGGGCCACGCTACGAATCCAGAGAGGACGGCAGGAGCAGCCCAGCGTGCCTGTCCCTCTGCCCAACGGTGAGTCGGATGAACCATCATCCTTTATTTTATCATCACAAATAAATAAATAAACTGTCAGAGATCTTTAATGAACACTGATTAACACATCACTTCACCAGGACAAAGGTTTAAATACAGTATGTGCTAGTTAACGACGAAACACATTTAAAACAGGTGCAAAACCTGGGGCCTAAATTTCCCACAATGCACCTGGACCACTGACAGTTGGGTGTTAGTCTAGTAGTTGCTTATCTATCCTGGAGCCTGCAGCGGAGATGAGGGGGTGGGGGAGTCTGACACTTGTCGTCTTCAGACCCCTCCCACCACTACAGGCTTCATACTGCTGTTTACATATGTGCAGCAGAGCTCCCCAACATCTGGAAACACCTGGAGAGCCGCTGAGGTCAGGGAACATGTTATTCACAGGGACACAATATGTTGGAGATGAGGAAACACACAGGTGATGTTCAAACTTCACAGCTGTTTTGTTTGCTTTTATAAAGAGTCACTAGCTGTGTTTCCACTCACCTGCGAATGTGAACTTAAAAACCAGAAATGGAAACATGTGAATTTTGAAAAAGTTCTCAAATGTTCACAAAAGTGAAATGGAAACACTTTTTTCACATTCAGGTGAAAATTGTCGCATCAGGCCCGAGGCTGGAAATCTGTCGTGTTTAATGGGAACGATATCGTGAGAGGAGAAAACCAAACTTTATTCACACAACTTCACCCAGTGGAAACACAGAACACTCACAACAGTGTTCTGGGGACTTTTCTAAACAAATGGCTTCGATGTTGCTCAAAACTGGAAACCAGACTTTTCTCATTGTCTATTAATCTACAGATTTTCATCAATGGACATAAAATGTTAGAAAATAGTGGAAAATTCTCTTTAGATTTTTTACTGTATCAGCAGATTAATCAGTAATGAAAGAAGAATCATTAGTTGCAGACGTATTTCCTATTGAAGAAGGTTAGGGCCACATGTGAAAACATTTCTTAAAGTTCAGAGTTTAAAGGCAGAATTCTAAAACAAAAAAAGAAAAAGTTTTCAGATGTGGCCCTAATCCTCTTCCGTAGTTGACACAGTGCCACGAGCTGGAGGGGAAACATGTGAGGAGGGGAGGGGAGCTGGACTCTGTGACTGACCTCAGATCAGTGATATGTGAGTGTGGTGTGGAAGCAGCAGCTGCACTTCCCTGTTTGTGTTGTGCACTCAGTCAGGACACTGTATCCTGCTGTTTGTTTCAGCTGCAGACAGAGATCATGTGACGCTGTGTGTGTGTGTGTGTGTGTGAGAGCTCCTCCCCATTGGTCGGCCCTGGCGTCAGATGTCGGGGTGCCGATCAGTGTGAAAAACACATGGCTCGTCTCAGGATGACGACGCAACAGCAGATTGCATAAGTTTAACCAAACAGACGAGAAGTGGCCACATGGAGTTCACTGAGAGACACTGAGAGACACTGAGACACTGAGAGACACTGAGAGACAATGAGAGACAATGAGAGACACTGAGAGACACTGAGAGACACTGAGAGACAATGAGAGACAATGAGACACTGAGAGACACTGAGAGACACTGAGACACTGAGAGACACTGAGAGACACTGAGAGACACTGAGACACTGAGAGACACTGAGAGACAATGAGAGACAATGAGAGACACTGAGAGACACTGAGAGACACTGAGAGACACTGAGACACTGAGAGACACTGAGAGACACTGAGAGACAATGAGAGACAATGAGACACTGAGAGACAATGAGAGACACTGAGAGACACTGAGAGACACTGAGAGACAATGAGAGACACTGAGAGACAACTCGTTGATATTTATATAATATTTATAATAAAACAGGACTTTTACTTTGAAGTCTCGTTTTGTCCCAAATCCTTAAGTCATTTTACTCTGACCTGAGACAGAAAATCCTCACATTGCCTTTTGGTTTGAGTAATGACGTCACAACAAATAATCAATTATCAAATGTCACTGATTAATAAACTGATCGTTTCTGCTCTAAATATTTAACACTGCTGGAACAAGAAGACAGGATTATATTTTAGTATTAGAGGTTAAATGCCATGGAGCTGATGGAGAACAGACATGTTGTGAGATGAAGGAGTGAACTGGACGTGACGGGGTTAAATGTTTGTGAGAGGTCAACGTCCTCGTGATCCTCAGACACGTTCTGCTTTAACATAACGCACACTGTTCTCTGCTGCTGCTCCGCTAATCTCATTTCAGGCTTTAGACAGAGCCGCACAGAAACAGCATGTACACATTAACCAGCCGAACAACTCTGCATTATATATTATATATATATATTATAATAATGATAATGATAATATTAATAAAAATAATAATAATTGTTATTATTATGAGTCAGAATGTGAGGATAAAAGTGATGTCTGCTGACTGTTTAAAACACGCTGTTGCGTGTGTTAGTTAATGAGTGTGAGAAGTTACACAACTCAAACTGTCAGACTGTTGTCATAGCGATGCTCGGCCTCATCTGACTCCGGTGCAGTTGAATACCTGTGTACACAGAGGTGTGAACTGTAAATAAGAGATGAGGCTGGAGGCGACACACCCAGAAACATTCTTCACGCAGATGTTACGGATGTTTGTTTTATAGTTCTGACAATCAATCAGACAACAGATGAACCGTATTATCGATTGATATCAGCTATCAATACATCAGTAATGATGGAGACTTCCTGAGCCGGATCAGAACCTGGTCCTGTCCTTACTGAGTGTCTCTGTGGTCCCATCATCTCCAACAGAGTGAGACGTCCCCAGATAGGAAGATAAGTCCGGCACACATTTACACAGTATACGCCTTGGTTCCATGGCCCAAGTCTGGCCCATATACGGCACAATTGTCAAATCCTATTTCCTCACCCGGACCAATTCTGGCACACATAGAAAATCTTCCGGCTGTCAGTCAGTACAGCAGGATAACAGCTGGAATCTACCCAGATGTGGAAGTATATGGGCCAGACTTGGGCCAGACTCAGACCAGACTCGGGCCGTGGACCCGGATATATACTGGGCAAAGTTTCATTTTGCTGTCTCTCTCTCTCTCTAACTGATCTCACATCAGTTTCAAACTCTGTTACCATCAAAGCGTCTGCACAGTTTCTGATACTGTAACTATGGTGACGCACTCACACTGTTATCATGTGATAGAACAGCTGCAGATCTGATTGGTCACAGGATTTAATCATTAAAATGAAAGGAATGTAAATTTGAAACATAAAAACTTCATGTGTGTTGTGTTGTTTGTCCAGGGATCATCGAGCGAGCGGGGGGCTCGATGGAGGAGGAGATGGGGCAGCTGCGGAGCTCTCGCTCTCTGGTGGGGGGCGAGTTTTCTCTGAGCGACGCCTTCTATTTCTACAAGAAGGGTCTGGAGAGCATCGCGGACGATCAGGTGACCCAGCGCTTCTCCTCCGAGGAGCTGGCTTCCTGGAACCTCCTCACCCGCACCAACCAGAACTTCCGCTACATCAGCCTCCGCCTCACCGTCATCTGGGGTGTCGGCGTCTTCATACGGTACTGCGTCCTCTTCCCCCTCAGGTGAGTCGCCTCTAAAGATGGCGTCCCATTCATCCAACACAACACTATGAAAATAAGTTGTGATAAACCCTCAGTCACTGCCTCGACGTGTCATCATGTCTCCCTCCCTCAGGATCACTCTGGCCATCATCGGCCTGTCGTGGCTCGTGATTGGGACGACGCTGGTTGGGTTTTTACCTGAGAGCAGGTATGGCAGCACCTGTGACCACGGCTGTGTCTGAATGTGGTGTTTTTCCCATGATGCTCAGGTTTATTTTCACTATGTTTATCAGTGCGAAGAACTGGCTGAGTGAAGTGGTCCATCTGACTTGCTACAGGATCTGCGCCAGAGGACTGTCAGCCACCGTCCACTACCACAACAAGTCAGTGTCAGCTACAGGAAGTGCTTTTACTGTGACGCTTTAACTACAGGAAGTACTTTTACTGTGAAACTTTAACCACATGAAGTACTTTTACAGTGATAATTAAACTCCAGGAAGTGCTTTTACTGTGATGCTTTAACTACAGGAAGTACTTTTACTGTGAAACTTTAACCACATGAAGTACTTTTACAGTGATAATTAAACTCCAGGAAGTGCTTTTACTGTGATGCTTTAACTACAGGAAGTACTTTTACTGTGAAACTTTAACCACATGAAGTACTTTTACAGTGATAATTAAACTCCAGGAAGTACTTTTACTGTGATGCTTTAACTACAGGAAGTACTTTTACTGTGAAACTTTAACCATATGAAGTACTTTTACAGTGATAATTACACTACAGGAAGTACGTTTACTTTTACAACTGAAGTATATTTTGCTGATTATAGTTCTGTACTTTTACTTTGAAGTAAACTGTTGAATGCAGGACTTGCACTAGAGTATTATGTCGTGGTACTTGTATTTCAGTAAATGATCTCAGTTCTTGCCCCCCCGCCCAGAGAGAACAGACCTCAGAAAGGAGGAATCTGTGTTGCTAATCACACCACACCCATCGATGTGGTGATTCTGGCCAATGACGGCTGCTACGCCATGGTGAGTGTCATCACAGCAGCTGGTCGGTGTGTCTGCTACAGGAAGTGTTTGGATGCAGTGATGTCAGCGCTCTGCGCTCCCTGTCCTCCTCAGGTGGGTCAGATCCACGGTGGTCTGATGGGGGTCATCCAGAGGTCGATGGTCAGGTCCTGTCCTCACGTTTGGTTCGAGAGGTCGGAGATGAAAGACCGCCACGCTGTGACCAGCAGGTGAGACACAAGTTCAAACCACATCTGCAGACAGGTTTTAGTCTCTGAGAAAACACAGAGAGAGAGAAGTTTAACCCCGCCCACTTTCTCACGTGCACACAGTTGACCAATCACAGTGTAAAGTGGGCGGGCTCTGTGAATTTCTCTTTTAAGTATTTCTTTTGAGCACTTGTTTGTGACAGCTCAAACACACACACACACACACACACACACACATCTATCAATGCTATTTCATTACTGCTTTGTTTGTTAATAAGCCTGAGATTCCCCTGGCAACACAGAGGTCAAAGGTCAAGAGGATTAAAACACCAGGAGGATCCAGAATTCATTGCATCTGAACCGAAGATAACAGCCTTAAAAATCAAGTTGAAAGAAGATATTGAGACGCAGCAGAGCGTCACATGACGGGAGTGAGGCCTTGTGGGAACTGAGCGTGGAACGGTGACACTGACGATCAGCTGACTGTTTAATTAAAGCAAAGCTGTGACTCCACTGTAGTAAACGGTGGATGAGATGAGGACGTTCTACTGAAAGAGGAACTCAGAGCAGCTCATTCAAAACAGAAGAAATGAACGAGTTGATTTTAATGAACTCATGAGAACCCGCTCCTCTCTCTCTGCAGGCTCAGAGCGCACGTCGCCGCAAGGACCAAACTACCCATCCTCATCTTCCCTGAAGGTCAGTGTCCTCATGTGAGGATGAGGATGATGAGGATGATGATGATGATGATGATGATGATGATGATGATGGTGATGATGATGATGATGATGGTGATGATGAGGATGATGATGAGCATGATGATGATGGTGATGGTGATGGTGATGATGAGGATGATGGTGATGAGGAGGATGGTGATGATGAGGATGATGAGAATGATGATGGTGATGATGATGATGATGAGGATGATGGTGATGATGAGGAGGATGATGGTGATGATGAGGATGATGGTGATGAGGAAGATGATGATGAGGATAATGAGGATAATGAGGATGATGGTGATGATGAGGATGATGATGATGGTGATGATGATGATGATGATGGTGATGATGAGGATGATGATGAGCATGATGATGATGGTGATGGTGATGGTGATGATGAGGATGATGGTGATGAGGAGGATGGTGATGATGAGGATGATGAGAATGATGATGGTGATGATGATGATGATGAGGATGATGGTGATGATGAGGAGGATGATGGTGATGATGAGGATGATGGTGATGAGGAAGATGATTATGAGGATAATGAGGATAATGAGGATGATGGTGATGATGAGGATGATGATGATGGTGATGATGATGATGATGATGGTGATGATGATGATGATGATGATGATGAGAATGAGGATGATGATGATGAGGATGAAGATTATGATGGTGATGATGATGATGAGGATGAGAATGAGGATGAAGATTATGATGGTGATGGTGATGATGATGATGAGGATGAGAATGAGGATGATGATGATGATGATGATGAAGATGGTCAGATAACTTGTGTCTGTGTTTCAAACAGGAACTTGTATCAACAACACGTCGGTCATGATGTTTAAGAAGGGAAGCTTCGAGATCGGAGGGACCATTTACCCCGTCGCAATAAAGGTAGAGATTTCACAATAAAACTTCTGATTATATGAAAGATGTAAAGTTCATATTGAATCCTGCAGTATGAATGTGTTCGATGGTACAAACATACAGATGTGCGTCACAAAAATCTCAACTAAAGGTCTCCTTACTCGCTTTTTTGGAGCTTTTAACTGCACCTGCTCTCTCTCACACTGATACAAGCTTCCATAGTGGGAACAGTCTGACCAGTAGTGGAGCTGACAGTGTGACACTGGAGGGAAACTCACGGGGTCGTTCATGTTCCCCAGAGGATGAACTGTAATGACTCTCATGATCCTCTAGCGCCATGAAAGGTGCTAATTAGCAAATGTTAGCATGCTAACATGCTAAACTACGATGGTTAGCATGGTAAACGTTATACCTGTATATGTTAGCATTGTCACTGTGAGCATGATATCATGTTGATGTTAACATTAGCATTTAGCTATTTAGTTTATCGGAAACCCACACGTCCTGACTACTACCGACTCTCTGACTCTGTGTTGTCATGACGACCACCGTGGTCGGTCATGTGACATGACACCTGAGAGAAGCTCCACCTGTGACTCACCTTCACCTCTCTGTGTGTCAGTACGACCCTCGCTTCGGTGACGCCTTCTGGAACAGCGGGAAATTCAACATGGTCAGTTACCTGCTGCGGATGATGACCAGCTGGGCCATCGTGGTCAACGTGTGGTACCTGCCCCCCATGACCATACAGGTACGCCTCCATCTGAAGCCAGGAGAGACACACTCCTCACACATCATCTTCATCGTCATCAGACTGTGTCCAAACACAGAGAAGTGAGCGATCACTTTCATCATCATTGAATCTGCTGATTATTTTCTCCATCAATTGATTCGTCAATTTCTCTTTGACGGCGCTGAGCGTCTGAGAAAGACGTGAAAAAAACTGAATTCCTTCATTAGAGAATCTGGAAACATGAAATGTTGAACTCTTAAAAAATGACATTAATTAGTTAGATTATGGATCATTGATTGTGATTGGAAAGTAAATCTGTAAATCGTTCAGTCAATCTCGGTTTTATTGTCTTTTTTTAGATGTGTTTCTATTAAACCGTTAAAGTTTAAATAATGAAAGAAAAACAAGAAGAAAGTTTCTTTTGACACATTCTCTCAAAACATATGAAGAAGAAACATAAATGATTCATGGCTTATCTAAATAATGATAATGTCTGTGTGTGTGTGTGTGTGTGTGTGTGTGTGTGTGTGTGTGTGTGTGTGTGTGTGTGTGTGTCTGTGTGCGTCCTGTTTGCAGGACGGTGAAGATGCAGCTCAGTTTGCCAACAGAGTGAAATCTGCCATCGCTCACCAGGGGGGGCTGCTGGACCTGGCCTGGTGAGGACCCCCCCCCACACACACACACACACAAATACTCAGAGTACTACATGAGACCCCCCCCAGCAACAGGGCTGGAGAGTATCTGAGTACATTTACTGTAATACTGCAAATACCTGCTGAGCTTCCTGTATAAATAACTTCTCCTTCTTCTTCTACTTCTTCTTTTTCCTCCTCCTCGTCTTCTTCTTCTTCTCCTTTTTCTGCTTCTTCTTCTCCTTCTTGTTGTTGTTCCTCTTCTTCTTCTACATCATCTTCTTCCTCCTCCTCGTCTGCTTGTCCTCCTCCTCCTCCTCTCAGGGACGGAGGACTGAAGAGAGGGAAGGTGAAGGACTCGTTTAAAGAGGAGCAGCAGAAGATGTACAGCAGCATCATCGTAGGACACAACATGAGCTCCACAAACACAGAGGAGGAGTGACATCATCACCATCATCATCATCATCGTCATCATCACTGTGATGTGTGAACGCCGCATATCCAGAAAGGAAGCCAGGAAGCCTCAGATACAGCAACTGATCATCAATCAATCAATCGATCAATAAGAGACTGTATCAACTCTTAAAGTCTTATTCTACATTTTTATAACATTTTATCCAAAGCCCAGCAGCTCTGTGTGTGTGTGTGTGTGTGTGTGTGTGTGTGTGTGTGTGTGTGTGTGTGTGTGTGTGTGTGTGTAGTGGTGCACTTGCACCAGCAGGAGGCAGTGTAACACAACACAATATGAACTGTTGGTTTCTTCAGCTGTGATCAATATTCTGTTATTATCTGTCAGTGTGTGTGTTTTATAAACCAGACGGACTCAGACTGAAGATGTGTCTTTAAAAGATCCACACACACACACACACACACACACACACACAGTTCCACCTCACCTCCATCTATTTATTTTGATTTAATCTAACGAGGCTAAAGAATGAGACTTCACAGTCAAACACTTTACAACATCCATTAATGAGTATTTTCATTATTGATAAATCTGCAGATGATTCTCTCAATGGATTGATCAGCTGTTTGATCAGAAAATGTCTAAAAGAAAATATCCATCACTCTTTTTTGATCAACAGCTGAAAGTTCAGTTTCATCTAAAACACAAAACAAAAGCGTCAGTGAAGGAGCCATTAATTAATCAATTATCACATTAGTTAGTGATTATTCTTCTGTTGACTGATCAGTGATTGTTTCAGCTCCAACATCAGCTCCATGTAATATACAGAGGTCACAGTGAGCGTACACAGAGTAAAAATAAGACCATAATAATAACACAAGTAAGAAGTTAAAAAATCACTTTTAGTAAATAAGGAGAATAAAAAGATAAAACTATTCAATGCTTGAAAACTGTTCAATAAGTGTTCAATAAGTGTTCAATAAGTGCTCACCTGTAAATCATTAAATCACATCATGTATCAGAAGCTTCAGAACAAACTCCAGCTGTTTTCATTAGTTATTTTCTGTATCTGCTCAAAACTAGAATCATAGATGAAACAGTGACAAACACTTCAAACAGTAAATAAACAGCCAGAAAACAAACAGCCAGAAAACAAACAGTCAGAAAACAAAGTCAGACAATATACAGTCAGAAAACAAACAGTCAGAAAACAGTCAGAAAACAAAGTCAGACAATATACAGTCAGAAAACAAACAGTCAGAAAACAAAGTCAGACAATATACAGTCAGAAAACAAACAGTCAGACAATATACAGTCAGAAAACAAAGTCAGACAATATACAGTCAGAAAACAAACAGTCAGAAAACAGTCAGAAAACAAAGTCAGACAATATACAGTCAGAAAATAAACAGCCAGAAAACAAACAGTCAGAAAATAAACAGCCAGAAAACAAAGTCAGACAATATACAGTCAGAAAACAAATAGTCAGAAAATAAACAGCCAGAAAACAAAGTCAGACAATATACAGTCAGAAAACAAACAGTCAGAAAATAAACAGCCAGAAAACAAACAATCAAAACTCTGATGAGACAAAAACAATAAAAATGAGAAAAAGACAAAAACTGGAAAAAGGAAAAAATAGAATTTAAATATAAAAACTGAAAGGAGAGAATATTTTTAATTACCTGCTTGATCCAGTTCTTTTACTTTTCCCTCCAAATATTTTCCATATTTCCAACATGAGATGATCTGAACCAGTGTTCTCCAACCTGTGGTCCGGGGCCCCTCAGGGGTCGCAGCGTGAAGCTGAGCGGTCAGGAGATGATTAATAAAGACAGAGTTTACACTTCTACAGTTTCCAAAACTGACTTTTAATAATGAAGATTTTATCTTAAATTACACCGATTTGAATTCAGTCCTTAATGTTGTTACCTGTGTGTTACCTGTGTGTAACGTGTTACCTGTGTGTTACCTGTGTGTTACCTGTGTGTAACGTGTTACCTGTGTGTTACCTGTGTGTAACATGTGTTACCTGTGTGTTACCTGTGTGTAACGTGTTACCTGTGTGTAACGTGTTACTTGTGTGTAACGTGTTACCTGTGTGTTACCTGTGTGTAACATGTGTTAGCTGTGTGTTACCTGTGCGTTACCTGTGTGTTACCTGTGTGTAACATGTGTTACCTGTGTTACCTGTGTGTTACCTGTGTGTTACCTGTGTGTAACATGTGTTACCTGTGTTACCTGCACATGTTCAGTCTGCCAGCTGTCAAACTTAGAAAAACAGAATTTTGTGTTTTTATTGTAAATTGAAAATGTACAAAGCAACAAGAACCTGCTGCAGAGCTGGAACAACTACAACATCAACAGATCATCCACTACCAAATGTATTGA